TATCTATTAGCACTTCACTTTGAGAAACTCACCAGCCATGCACTAACGCTCTTTGCCCTAACAGATAGTCAATGGAAGGCCTACCTTCAAGTAGACCAACCAAGTGAGAAGCACTGACTTCTATTGGCACCGTGCACCTTCACCAACACCACCAGCCAGCCAATCCCCACAACTGCCATTAAGGTCATTTAGTTTTCATTTTGTTCTCTTTGTAGTCCTCCTTTTGGCCAATCTATTCATTAACCACATTTTTATCACTAAGCGGAATTGTGAAATGTCAGATGATGACACTTAAACTGATACAATTTGTCCCCTGTTATTTCTGATTTAAAGATTTTCCAGGCTAGATGTTAAAATTACTGCGTAAAATGCAAGCTGTGAAATCAACTAGCCATGCTTTTCCTATAACCTAAAAACATGAAGAATTCAAAATTTACTATATAAAGGTTATATCCATAAGACCCTAGTAGCTTGCTTTCAATCTCTAAATGTGTTTCAGCCAAATAGATGAGAGATACTTCAAAGCTTTAACACAAGTCATCTTCCTCTTCTCTTCACTGATTTTCCTTAGAATTGGGCATCTTTTTCTAAAACACATACCTATAGTGGTAATAACACCCCCTTTCCTTAGTGACTGACTTTGCAAGAGCTGACAACTCCTCAGGAGCAATGTCAGGCACTCAACAATGACTCTTCACATGGATGTTTTGCCAATGAGAAGAATCTGAAAGCCTGTGAAACCATCCATTTTCACCAGACAAAGTCTTCTCACCTCATCTTAAATTAATATTAGGCTAATTGGCATTTTTAATACTGATTGACCCCATCTTGAGTAACAAATTCCAAGGTTCTTCCATTTCCTCACTTTTTGTTTATTCTTGAAATGTACTGTTAAGAGTTGGCATGTGTTCCATGACTTAGTTTGCCCTTCAGAAACACCTGGGTGTCAAATGAGTTCTCTCTTGCACACTTACAGAATTCATCATCGTCTCTTCAGCTTTAATTATCTTTATTTTCTTAAGAGAAAATAAAAATTGGATTAATAAAATGTTTCTTCTTATCATTTTCACAGACATTATATGAGATTAAAAATATTCATAAAACCCCTCAAAATTAAGTACAAGCCCAGCAACCGTGAGTCTACCATAGACTAACAGAAAAGGAAACCAGTACACAACCAATACTGCCATCTGTTGGTGGCAGGCAGAGTTAGCTCACTTTTGTTTTTACCTATCAAAGTCAATTTTAAAATTCCTAAATATAGGAGGTGCTGCCTCTCAGTGGAGCCTGGAAAAAGTAAAAGCAACCATTTCTGAAAATATCTTAAATTACAACAACAAGAATTTCATTGTCTGTTGTACCTTTAACTACAAAGGTATCATAATTTGGTACGGTTTGTTTTCAGAGAAATGTCTTCGCAGAAAGCACACTAGATGGACAAATATTTTCATATGACTCAAGAGGTGACTTTTTTATTCATATTTATTTATTTTCTTCTATATAATATTTTATTGATTATGCTATTACAGTTGTCCCATTTTTTTCCTCCTCTTTATTACCGTCCGCCCTGCACCCCCCTCCCACCAGCATTCCCCTCCTTTAGTTAATGTCCATGAGTTGTACATATAAGTTCTTTGGCTTCTCCATTTCCTATACTATTCTTAACCTCCCCCTGCCTATTTTGTACCTGCTATTTATGCTGCTTATTCTCTGTATATTTTCTTCCATTCTCCCTCTCTGATCTCCGTTCCTGTGATTCTGTTCCTGTTCTAGTTGTTTGCTTAGTTTTTGTTTTTTGGTTTTGTTTTCTTTAGGTTCAGTTGTTGATAGTTGTGAGTTTGTTGTCATTTCACTGTTCATAATTTCTGATCTTCTTTTTCTTAGGTAAGTCCCTTTAGCATTTCATATAGTAAGGGTTTGGTGATGATGAACTTTAACTTGACCTTATCTGGGAAGCACTTTATCTGCCCTTCCAGTCTAAATGATAGCTTTGCTGGACGGAGTAATCTTGGATGGAGGTCCTTGCCTTTCATGACTTGGAATGCTTCTTTCCAGCCCCTTCTTGCCTGCAAGGTGTCTTTTGAGAAATCAGCTGATAGTCTTTTGGGAACTCCTTTGTAGGTAACTGTCTCCTATTCTCTTGCTGCTTTTAAGATTCTCTCCTTATCTTTAGTCTTAGGTAATATAATCATGATGTGCCTTGATGTGTGCATGTGCTTCCTTGGGTCCAACTTCTTTGGGACTCTCTGAGCGTCCTGGATCTTCTGGAAGTCTATTTCCTTTCCCAGGTTGAAGAAGTTCTCCTTCATTATTTTTTTCAAATAAGTTTGCAATTTCTTGATCTTTCTCTTCTCCTTCTGGCACCCCTATGATTCAGATGTCAGAACATATAAAATTGTCCCAGAGGTTTCTAAGACTCTCTTCATTTTTTTGAATTCTTGTTTCTTCACTCTGTTCTGGTCAAATGTTTATATCTTCCTACTGCTCCAAATCATTGATTTGAGTCCCACTTTCCTTCTCTGTTGGTTCCCTGTGTATTTTTCTTTATTTCATTTTGCATAGCCTTCACTTTTTCCTCCATTTTGCGACCATACTCAACCATGTCTGTGAGCATCCTGATTACCAGTGTTTTGAACTCTGCATCTGATAGGTTAGCTCTCTGTTCATCGCTTAGTTCTATTTTTGGAGCTTTGATCTGTTCTTTCATTTGGGCCATATTTCTTTGTCTTGGCACACCTGTTATGTCAGAAGGGGTGGAGCCTTAGGTATTTGCCAGGGTGAGGCAACCCAGGTAACTGCGTTGTGACGCTGTGTGTGGGAAAGGGGTCAGAGAGGGAACAATGCCACTTGTTCAGCTCTTGGCCGGCTTTCAGGCACTTCCCCCTCTACCCACAAGCAAACTGGGTCCTTCTGGTACTGATTCCCAAGTGGGTAGGTTTGTGTACATTCAGAGCTGACATTTTAAAGGCATTCCTGAAAAATGCATATGTTCTCACACAAAAGCAAAGTTGACTCAATCACAATATTGAGCCTTTCAACTCTATACAGTTGACCTTGGAACAACAGGGGTTTGAACTGCATGGATCCACTTACATGTCTTTTTTTTTTTTTTCCAGTAAATACCTATGCTGTTTCCAATCCAAATACCTACACTGTTTCCAATCCATAGTTGGGAGTCCACTGATGTAGAGCATGAATTATATGCATGATTTACTCCATTTTATATAGGGTACTTGAGCCCTAAACAAAATCAAGGTCCTTTAAGAAAGGAATAATGAGAAGATGTATACTAAGTAGGGAACAAGTAATGGCTGCCACATGATCAAGGACATTTTAAGTTTTGCTCAAAGTTCACAAGTCAAAAGCCATTGACTCAAACCTCAAACTGCCTACTAACTACAGGGTTTTCCTTCCCTCCAAGAAATAGCTCTAAGTTCCTGACTGTTTACTACCAAAACTACTCTTCGTGACTGACATATGCTACCCTGCTCCCCAAAGGATTGACCACACTCTAGAAAACATAACTTTAGTAACAATCACAAAGAGCATTTAAAAAGAAGAAAAGAATCACTGGCTCATCAGCACATTCTGAAGAAATCAACAAACCCTCTAGCACTGCTCTGTTAGTTGAATGTTTTCCAACTGATTCCACAGTAAGAAATGTAGATGTGCTCTTTTATAAAGCCAAGATGGTGTCCAAAGCATATCAGGTAAAAAGGAGGTGAGAAGGATGAATGAGAATTCAAAATAAAACTAAACCCATCCTCCACCACCTTACTCCTTGGCAGCTGCTCCAGCCTATTAACTAAATCACCAATAAGTCTCCAAAGTAATTAGAGACAAGTCTTCCAATTAAATAACTGTGGCACAATTATCACAGGACTTGATAATTATACCACATTGGTCCTCACAGGCACTGAAAGCAGTCCCCTGGCCTAGGTTATTTCAGCCAATGCCCATCCCTCTCCTGTAGAAGGTAAGTGCTCAGTGATGTAGAACAAGGCAGAAAGAAAGACACAATTTCTCCAAATCTCAGACTGAATAGACAATTCAAAGCAATTTCCCTGCTTTCACAGAGAAATACTAAACAATATATGTCTTTAGAAACAGGAATATTATATTTTGTCTGCCAAGAACTGTGAGAGTCAGCAGAGAATTTTACAGGGACAGTTCCCTCCTGTTGGGAGGCAGCCCACGAAGAAAAGAACACTCACAGAGAAGTGGCAAGACCTGGGGACTTGTTATAGCTGGACATGCTCAAGTAAGTTATTTCATTCCCCTCCCCCATCATCTTGATTTTTCACAACTATAAAATGACAGCATTGGACCAAATTATAAACGTCTGTGTTGTTTTCCCCCAACAATAGGCCAAATGGTCAGAAACTTAGATCTAAGCGTGGAGGCTGAATGATTTTTTTTAAATGTTACGAGTTGAAAGAAGCCACACTTGGCACACAGATACTAGAGTGACGAAGTATGGGCCAAGGGCACAAAAAGTGTTTACGCATACTGATGTCCTTTTTATCAACTATCATGCAAATGTCTGGGTCTCATAACACAACGTTAGTAGAACTAAAATTTAGCAACCGAAGATGAGATAATTAACTGTGTTCACCTTCAGCTGTAATAGCTATTGACCTGGGCCTGTTAGCAGCAGCCTGTCACATAACGATGACCTTTCGGAAGGGGCTTTGGCCTACCAGATTGTGTGGATACCCTAATTTAAAGGGGGAATAAGGCTCCGAACCTTTCCCAGGCTGGCCTCCAGGGGTAGGTAGGTTGCATTTGTTCCAATGGGACCCAGGTTGGACCCCAGGGGATCTCAGAAGTTATCTCCTTAGTCTATGAGTCTAAACCAGTGGTTCCCAAACTTTATTGTGCCTATGAATCACCTGAGAAACGTATTAAAAATGCAAATTCCTAAGCCCAATTCCAGAGACTCTGGTTCAGCAGGTTTGTAGTGAATCATAGGAATGGGTATTTTATTATTTTATTTTTTTTAGAGGAGAGTAGAGCACAGTCTCCCACTAACATAAACTATGTCGTCAAGTTTCCCACATTTGGGGAAATTGTAGGGGTGAGCAGATCCAGAATGCAGAAGTTAAGCCTCGCCTTGGGAAAAACACCATGATCATGGTATTTCCCCGGCCAGGTAAATATAGAAATGTGTATTCTAAAGAAGTACCAGCAGATGGCTGTGATATAGGTAATTCAAAATCCATACTTGGAGGCATACTTGTCATTCCAAAGCAGCTGGGAGGGATTCTTGTACTAGCAAAGGGCCTGGGTTTTCTTCATTTGGCTAAAAATAATGTGGTCAAGAATTAAAATCCAAATCCATATGATGAATATGTAGGTCCTTACTTCTAAGGAAGATGGAGAAGACTTGGGCATGAATGGGCATGTATTCCAGACAAACACAGAGATGTGAATGGTCCTCAAACCACCTTTGCTGGAATGATGATGCTGAGTAAGGAAGCAGAATTGATGGGGGACTCAAAGGCTGGAAAATTTTAGTTTAAGGTAATAGTTAATAAGCCTACTAGTTAATGCATGTGAAAAGCTATTGTTTTAGGAATTGCAAGTACAGCCAACCCTGACTCCAAGAGACCACAAGCAATTGAGCTTTGTGCTCCAGAAGAGACCATAAAGCAATCAAGGTGGTACTCGAGCCATTGTGTTCCTGGGAGAGACAGTCTGCTACCCAGGACCCAGATAAAGAAAATCACCAGTTGGCCGATGAAAGGACCTCAGAAATTGCCAGACTACAGCTTTTATCTGATTAACCTCTTTCCTGCATCCCAAATCCCTTTCCTACACTTTTTTTCCCCTTGAGTCCCAAGTCCCTTACCTATACTTTTGCCCCCCTGATAAGAAAGGCTGGCTTGAAAAGAAAGGGAAGACAGTCTGTTAAGGTACAAACCCACCATCTTCTCAGATCGCCAGTTATCTGACTAAAGCACCCAAAAAGATTCAGTCCATCTCTGCTCATTGGGTCTGGTAGGTGACAGGCAGCATGAACACCAGGCTTTTCCAGTTTCAGCATTATTACATACTGTATGTGAATGAGTCATTTATTCAACAGGAGAACAGAGGTTCTAGAAAGCCCTGCAACCCCAAGCAGAAATTAACAGCATCACACAGTTAATTTCAAAAAAAAAGAATCTGTCTCCTTTCTTTCTGTTTTTGCTTATCTAAAGCTCTTGAGTTTCCTGAGGACTTACCTTTCTAGAGAAAAATCTCAACCTCAAATCACACCACTTATTTATTAGTAAGCCTGCTTCCGTGACTCTCAGTAGGAAAGACATGAATCTCTTCATCAAGAATCCTAAATCCTCTTCCAAAGGAGCATGTGTATCATCCTTCTCTCCAAGCTCTACCATCAGTGGCCTCAACCCTTCTTAAGGACATAGGCCACAAATCATTGACATGCTTTAAGTTGCCAGAAGCTTGCCCACTCTGTAACTTTCCAATTCATTGACTATTTTTAATGTTTTTAAAAACTTTCAACTGCAGTTGACATACAATATTATATTAGTTTTAGGTGGACAACAGAGTGATTAGACATTTATATAACTTATACAGTGATCATCCTAGTACTATCTAACACTACACAGTTATTACAATATTATTGACTATATTCCTTTTGCTATACTTTACATCCCCATGGCTGTTTCTTTTGGTTTTGGTTACTTTTTATAGAGACGGCAAGGGAGGGATAAAGAGAGGATGAGAGACATCAATCAGTTGCCTTTTATACATGCCTCAACTGAAGACTAAACCCACAACCTAGGCATGTGCCCTGACTGGGAATTGAACCAGCGACCTTTCGCTTTGCCCAACCAATTCAGCAACACCAGTCAGGACCCCATGACTGTTTTTACAACTGCAATTTGTACATCGTAAACTCTTCTTGTTTTTCACTGTTCGATCCATCCCCCTCGCATCTGGCAGCCAGCAAAATGTCCTCTGTATCTAAGAATTTATTTCTGTTTGGTTTGTTCATGTATTTTGTTTTTTAGATTCCATATATAAGTGAAATCGCATGGTATTTGTCTTTCTCTGACTCATTAATTTTTTTATTGATCTTAGAGGATGGGGGAGAGAGGAAAAAAACATTAATTTGTTGTTCCACTTATTATGCATTCTCTAGTAGATTCTTGTATGTGCCCTGACCAAGGACTGAACCCAATATTCTAACCAACTGAGCTAACCAGCCAGGACCTGACTCATTAACTTTCTTAAAAATATTTTTAAATTTAATCTGTATTGTATCAATAAGACAAATAATTGCTTGTAATCAACAGACACTGCTTCTGAATTAGTTAAGAAACTGGAACTTCCACAAGACCCTTATATTCTGTCTTTAATCTCCACCCATAGTAGTACAGTGTCAGTGTTCCTGGCTTTGCAAAGGGTCTCTGCAACTCCAACATGTAGGTCTCTGTAAAAGAGACTACACTGCAAATTGAAAGGGCTGCTCTGTGAGGGCATTTTCCTTTTGCATAAAGTTACATTAATAAGAGTTAATTGATGAACTTCTGGCCAAGACAGAGGTGAAGTTAGATACACTTCACCTCCTCACACAACCAAAAGGACAACAACAAATTTAAAAACAAAAAATAACCAGAACTGTCAGAAAATCGAACTGTATGGCAGTCCAGCCACCAAGGAGTTAAAGAAGAAACCTTCATCCAGACTGCTAGGAGGGGCAGAGAAGGCAGCTGTAGTGGAGAGGACGTGTGGCAAGGCAGCAGCTGGAAGACCAGGCAGGCAAGGCAGCACCTGGCAGACTGGCCAGTCCCACATTTGCATGTGGATAAACGAGGAGGAACAACTGGGGGGGGCAAGACAAACCACACAATCCAGGGTCCAGTGCAGGAAAAGCAAGCCTCAAAACCTCTGGCTGTGAAAATCTGTGGGAGTTGTGGCAGTGCGAGAAACTCTCAGTCTCACAGGAGAGTTCGCTGGAGAGACCCATAGGGTCCTAGAATCTACACAAACCCACCACCTGGGAATCAGCACAAGAAGGGCCCAATTCACTTGTGGGCATCTGGGGAAGTGACTGAAAGCTACCAGAGAGTCGATCAAGAGGCACTGTTCCCTCTCAGACCCCTCCCCGACATATGGCATCACAATGCAGCGACCTGGGTTGCCACACCCTGTATAATACTTAAGACTCCACCACTTAAAATGTAACAGGCCCACTGAGACAAAGAAATGTGGCCCAAATGAAAGAGCAGATCAAAGCTCCAAAAATAGAACTAAGTGATGAACAGATAGCCAACCTATCAGATGCAGAGTTCAAAACGCTGATAATCAGGATGCTCACAGAAATGGTTGGGTATGGTTGCAAAATGGAGGAAAAAGTGAAGGCTATGCAAAGTGAAATAAAGAAAAATACACAGGGAACCAACAGTAAGGGAAGGAAAGTGGGACTCAAATTAACAATTTGGAGCAGAAGGAAGAGGTAAACATTCAACCAGAACAAAGTAAAGAAACAAGAACTCAAAAAAATGAAGAGAGTCTTAGAAACCTCTGGGACAATTTTATATGTTCTGACATCTGAATCATAGGGGTGCCAGAAGGAGAAGAGAAAGATCAAAAAATAGCAAACGTATTTGAAAAAAATAATGATTCCTTCTACCGTGTTCTTCAACTCAGAAATTGTATTCTTCATTTCCTCTTGTCTCTTATTGATAGTTTCTATGTCCTTTTTCATGCAGAAATAATTTGCAGTAAGTTCCTCGTAGTTTCCCTGTAGTTTTTTGTAGTTTTCTCTGAGCTCACTGAGCTCATTGAGCTTCCTTGGAACTGCTGTTTTGAACTCATATATTGAGAGTTTACTTGCCTCTATTTCATTTAGTTCTCTTTCTGGGGATTCCTCCTTTCTCTTTGAGTGGGGAGTGTTTCTTTGTCTCTTTGTCTTCCAATTATTTGTGAGACTCTTCTTTTTTGTTTCTGCTTCTTAAATTGATCTGTCTGGATTTCTTGACTTTGGGGGGAAAAACTATTAACCCTGTTTCAGATGTGTTGCAAATACTTCCCTATTCTATTACTTGTCCTTTAACTTTTTTATATGTATATTGCTCTATAGTCTTAAATGTTTAATATAGTCATATTGCCAATATTTTACTTCATAGCTTCTGGGTTTGAATATGTTACTTCAGGGTAAGAAAAATGTTATTCTAGATTTTCTCCTAAAACTCCTTAGATTTTACATGTTGATTTTTAACTCACCTGAATATTTTCTGTATAACGTGTGAAATAGGGCTCTATATTTTTTTATTTCAATAGGGGTCCATGCACCTTATTTGTTGATTAAGCCTTATTTTCCCCATTGATTTGAAATATCAATTTAATCACATATTACATTCTTAGACAGATATATACATTTATTTCTAGAATGTTCATTTTATTTCATCTACTTGATTATTTCTGTGCTTGTGTCATGTTTTAATTGCTGAGATTTTATAATGGATTTAAATTTTTTAATATTTTATACTGAACCTTAACATTAAAAAAATAAATAAATAAAATCAATCTGCATTTTAAAAAAAAGAAGAAACTCCTACATTTTGAGACAACATGGATGTAACTGGAGAATATTATGCTAAGTGAAATAAGTTAGTCGGTGAAATACAAATACCATATAATCTCACTTATAAGTGGAATCTATTCAACAAAATAAACTAATGAACAAAATAAACCACAGTCAAGGAAACATGGAGCAGACTGAAAGTGACCAGAGGGGATGGGGAAGGAGGACAATGGTGGAAAGAAGGAGAAGAGACTGACTGTGGGAGAGGGGGGCGGGGTGGGATGGGTGAAGAAGGGCAAAGGGGAAAAAATTGAGACAACTGAAATAGAATATACATGATTTAAAAATAATAATAATAATGCAGGAAAACTTTCACAATCTGGTGAAGGAAATAGACTTCCAGGAGATTCAGGAAGCTCAGAGAGTCCCAAGGAATTTGGACCCAAGGAAGCACACATCAAGGCACATCATAATTGCATTACCCAAGACTAAAGATAAGGAGAGAATCTTAAAAGCAGCAAGAGAATAGGAGACAGTTACCTACAAAGGAGTTCCCAAAAGACTATCAGCTGATTTCTCAAAAGAAACCTTGCAGGCAAGAAGGGGCTGGAAAGAAGCA